TTCAAGACAGAGGCCCTGTCTTTACTTCCACTGTGTTCAACAGAACCCGTGGCCTAGAGCTGAGTACAGGATAGTCACTGAATAAATAGCCATCGATTGATCCTAAGGGACACTTAACACCTCCTGAAGGCCAAGGGGAAACCATAGGACTTTGAACGGGGAAGGAGAACTGTCTGAAGAACTGGAAGCAGCCACGTATAGACTCCGGCCTGGGATCTTGTTCTGTAGTAGTGTCTGAATCAAAGTTTCCCTAGACAGGGGCGCCTGGGGGGCTCAGGCGGCTAAGCGTCCGACTTCGGCGCAGGTCATGATCTCACAGGTCGTGGGTTCAAGCCCCGCGTCGGGCTCTGTGCTGACAGCTCAGAGCCTGGAGCCTGTCTTCGGATTCTGTGTCTCCCTCTCTCTCTGACCCTCCCCTGCTCACACACTCTCTCTCTCAGAAAGAAATAACACATTTTTTTTAAAAACCAAAGTTTTCACTAGATAAAAGTAAAAATTAAATGTTTCGTGGAGATGATTAATGTCCACATCCAAGTAATATAGAACCCCACAGCCACTGTTGGAGAGCAGTGACCTGTGAAGTGCTCAGGAGTGTAGCCCAGTGCTCTGTAATTCGATCTCGCGCACCTTACGAAGCTAAGCACTCAGCACTGGAAGCTTTCCGGAGCCCCTCTGGTTTTGTCCTGAAAGGGCCCAACACGTTGACAAGAAGAATAAGTCCATTTTCTCCTTCCAAGCAGAAAGGTATTTCATGCACTCACCTCGTGTTTGTCTCACCTGATGTCAGCCCTCAGCGGACGGTGGGGTTTCCTGTTGTCCGTCGTTCGTGCTTACTTAGGCAGCAGAGGCTTGCTGTTCCGAGAGGGCTTCACTCTGCCGTCATTTTCCTAATTACTGAACTGGGACGAGGAATAGGCTAAGGTGGTAAACCACCTTGAGAACGTCTGCATGGCATCTGGAGCAGACAGACTATGCTGACTCTGAAGGGAGGTGGATGCCACGCCTACCGTGGAGTCTCCCATTGCCATCTGACCTTGACCCTTGACCCGCGCTGCAGGCCTTGTCACAGATATTCAGTCCTCTGGTTAATTTTTTTGTTCATTCATTCCTGTATTTTCCAGAAGGAGACCCCAACCGTGAAGTGTGGTGGTGGTAAGACTCAGCGGTGAGCAGCAGGATACACAGAGCCCAGCCCCTGCTTTGGGGGAGCCTGGTAGACTGCCCGGGCCGGAGAGTCCAGCTTAAGCTCTGAGGCCTCAGTGATAACCGTTGTCAGGCTCTGTGGTGCATCTCCGAGAGCCCAGGATCACTCTCCAGTCTGCCACTGGGCTGATGTCACATGTATGGTGTCTGTCTTTTGTGTACTGATCAGGGACATGATTAAAGAGATCGAAGGAGTAGACACCGCAATGAAAGAACAATGAAAAAAGAATCCGATTTTTTCAAAACCTAGAACTGAAACATGAGTCATAGTCACTAATCCTTTAGGACAATAAATGCAGTAAGTTGTTATAGAAAATGCAAAGAAGTGTGAAAAGAGAATTCTACTAACACTATGGTTTAAGTATCATTCTCGCTCTTCCTCTGCATGTGGGAACGTGTGGGAAATAGCTGGTAGCAGGCTGTGGTTTTGTGTTAGGTTCTTGTCATATATCAGTATAGCATGAATGTATCTTCATTAATGATCTTAAAAGTTACATCTAATGAATACTAATAGTAGTTATGAATCAATCAGAGCTTGTCATGTGTGCCTGGACTTACCGTGTAAATAATTGAAGAGCGTGTAGGAATTGTCTGCGAGCAACAGAAATCCTAACTTGAACAAATAGGGTTTTCCCCCCTCACAACGTCTGGAGCTTGTGTTGGGGTTGATTCAGCAGGTCCGTCGTGTCACAACAGAGGCCTTGGGACTTTCTTGCCCAATCCCTCGTGCTTGCAAGGCGGCTGCCCACTCCAGGCGTCGCATCTGTCCTCGGCAGGGAAAGACGGGGAAAGTGACAGCAAAGGACATCTGCCCCAAGCTCCCCAGCCAACTTCTTACACCCCTCTGGGTACCACAGGAGGTAGGACAGCAAGACTTTCCCTTCCCGATCACGTTACAGCAGGCGAGGGGGAGGAGGGCGGGCGTGGGAGCCGGGTCGCCAGTCCCGATGCCAGCCGCGGGCTCTGTTATGTGTTTAACTGCTCATCCTTAGTGAGCACTTCTGTTTCCATGATTCCTTCTTATAAATAATTCACGGTCAATATCCATGTTCATCCGTCCATCAGAATCTCTGATTATTCCCTCGCTATGATGTCCCAGGAGTAGAATTACAGGTTAGAGGTAGCATGATTTTTTTTTTAAGTTTCTTTATTTTGGGGAGAGAGAGAGAAAGCACCACTGGGGGAGGGACTGAGAGAGAGGAAGGAGAGACTCCCAGCCTGGCTCCGCACAGCCTTCGCACGGCCTCGTGTGGGGGCTCAAACTCACAAAATTGAGATGAGGTCACCCATGAGGAGATCGTGACCTGAGCCGAAGTCAGACACTTAACTGAGCCACCCAGGCGCCCCCAAGGAACCACAGTTTTTATATCTCTTCTTACATATTATTAAACTCCTTTCCAGAAAGACCTTGTCATTGTGTGCAATCGCCATGCACACATGGCGTGAGCCATGGGCTCCCCCGCGGGCCTCCCCCCCCCCCCACCACCGCTTAGGACACACTCTTAGTTGTCCCGTCTTTAGGATTTACTGAGCTTTCCCACCTGCCAGAGCACCGGCTAAGCACGCAGATGGGAACGTGATTCTGTAGTTGCGCTCGGAGGGCCTGATATCATTTTAAGGGTCCCTATCTAAAAGTGTTTTGCAGCACCTGGACCTAAAGAACTCTGGAGAGGCTGAGCCACCAAAGAAGAGTCACAAGATGCCACAGTCAGTCACCCTACCCCCCTCGTCTGATTGACTAATTGAATTAATGTTTCCCTGGCCCCATGTTTCTCAACAGGTGCACGATGGACATTTGGGGCGGGCCAGTTCTTTACTGTGGGGGACACCCCCAATCATTACGGAACACTTTGCCTCCCTGGCCCTGCAGGGAAATGCCAGCAACACTTTCCAGGCTCTGTGACGAGCAGACCCTCCCTCGTGGCGTCATGTGCCCCCAGCCTTGTGGGGAGAGCCTCCCAGGCACATGGCGTGGACCCCTTGTCGGCACACGATGCTGTGCTGGGCCAGGCGGAACTGTCCAGGGAAGGTGGCAGGAAGAAGAATACGTTTCCCACGCTGGTACTTTCTTAGAGACTTCCAGAAATGCCAGTTGCCCAGCTGTTCTGCCTGCAGACATCAAGGGGGAAAGGATGCACACGCAGGCCCCAACCTCAGAGCCAGAGTTAAGGAGAAAGTCCACAAGCAGTCAAGGTGGTTGAAGGTGGCTTTCTGGAGAAACTCTGCAGGCTGTGCCTGTCCAGGGACAGTGAGGAGACAGGACGCCATTGGCAGCTGAGCAAGGCAGGAGGGGTGGGAAGATGGAGAGAACCTCCTGGAATGTAAAGGGGGCAGCAGCTGTTAAGCCAGGGCCATGATAAGAGGGAAGAGAAAACACAGGGCACCCGTGTCAGCCTGAGCTGGCCACCCTTGGGAGAGTGGAGGTCAGTAGGCCAGTGCCTGGCCCGGGGCCAAGTTTAAGTTGAAGACACAGCACGCGCAAGGGCATAAAGGCCGTTTCAGGGACCACAAGGAGCTTGGTATCCCCAGACTGTTAGACCAGGGACTGATGGGCGGTACCCGCGGTCAAGGCTTCTGTCCTGTGCCCCAGAGGGAACCTTCAGCGGAGTGGAGGGAGGGGCGGGGCTAGAGGCAGAGATGCGGGTTTGAGACCTCAGGACAGTCTGGCGTTTAGGAGAAGCAGGATGTCATCTAGAACGGTTCCCTGTCACCTGACCTCCTTCGTGCAAGAGTGAGTTGTTGCACGTTCAGCAATTAAGTTTCTAAATTAAAATATTTCACCTTCTAAGAAAATGCCAAATAGAACAGGTGCCAGTCACAATAGGGTCAGGGAGGCTGGTAGGCGATGTGAAGAGGGATAATTCTCCAAAGACCTCAAATGACCAAAACCAAGGGCTGGAGGTTTATTCCGAGAGTCAACATTTGTTTCTTTAGATCATGGTGAGTAAAGTTCTATTTGTTGATCTGTCTTCACACCAGTTCATAACAATTAGTATTTTTAAACATTTTAAAATTCAAAACGAGACGAGCGCTCCTTGGTGCCGCTGGAGCTGGCAGATACACTTGCCGCCTGCACGGCGCCCCTTGCGCGGAGAACGGCAGTGAGGACAACTTGCCGTTGCCGTTGGAAGGGCCTGGCCTGTTTCAGCAGCAGCGACACGGAGGACGCCTTCTAACCTCGGTCCCCTGCAGCCGAGGACCACTGCTGCCTTCACCGAGGGGGACCGCGGGCCTCCCCTCCCCCCCCCCCCAGCGTCTAGCAAGCAGCTCACCGCGCGTGGCCCAATGACCGTCGTCCCATCGCAGATGGGGACACAGGGTTTAAGGGCTTAGGTCACCTGTGGGCATCTGGTTCGTGGCCGCACTGTGTCGTGCAACAGTAGCTCCAGTTACCTCGGCGCTGCGGGCGTTCATCTAACCTGCTGAGCGCGGTGGTGGGAAGACACACGCGCGCACACACGAGGGCACACGCACGCACGCACCCAAACACCCACACCCAGACGCACGCGCATGCACACACTTGCACGTGCGCAAAGGAGTGCGCGCGCGCGCGCACGCAGAGACACACATGCACTTGCACACGCACACCACCGCAGCGCGCCCCGGCACGCGCGCGGAGACGCACACGTGCTCTTGCACACGCACCCTTGCACGCGCGCGCTGTAGCCGGCTCTGCAGCGCCCCCGTCGCCTGGAGGCGGGGAACCGGCTTCCCAGGGGAGTGACCCCCCGCGCGGGGCGCCGCCCCGCCTCCCCACTAACCGGCGGTGTTCCCTTGCAGGTTAGCAATCCGAAGCGATGGGCGACTGGAGCTTCCTGGGGAGGCTACTAGAGAACGCGCAGGAGCACTCCACGGTCATCGGCAAGGTTTGGCTGACGGTCCTGTTCATCTTCCGCATCCTGGTGCTGGGCGCCGCCGCCGAGGAGGTGTGGGGCGACGAGCAGTCGGACTTCACGTGCAACACGCAGCAGCCCGGCTGCGAGAACGTGTGCTACGACAAGGCCTTCCCCATCTCGCACATCCGCTTCTGGGTGCTGCAGATCGTGTTCGTGTCCACGCCCACGCTCATCTACCTGGGCCACGTGCTGCACCTCGTGCGCATGGAGGAGAAGAGGCGCGAGCGCGACGAGGAGCGGCCGGAGGGCGGCGCGCCGGGCGCGCGCTGCGGCCCCGAGGCGCGGCCGCCCGTGCGCGACGACCGCGGGCGCGTGCGCATGGCCGGCGCGCTGCTCCGCACCTACGTCTTCAACGTCATCTTCAAGACGCTCTTCGAGGTGGGCTTCATCGCCGGCCAGTACTTCCTGTACGGCTTCGAGCTGAAGCCGCTGTACCGCTGCGACCGGTGGCCCTGCCCCAACACGGTGGACTGCTTCATCTCCCGGCCCACGGAGAAGACCATCTTCATCGTCTTCATGCTGGCCGTGGCCTGCGTGTCCCTGCTCCTCAACGTGCTGGAGATCTACCACCTGGGCTGGAAGAAGCTGAAGCAGGGCGTCACCGCCCCCGCCGGCCTCCCGCCCTGCCCCGCGCGCGCCGCCGCGGCCCCGGGGCCCCCCGCGGCCGGGCCGCGCGACCCGGGCGACCCCCGCCGGCCCGCGGCGGAGCAGAACTGGGCGGGCCCCGAGGCCGAGCCGCCCGCGCCGGCGCCCCCGAGCCCGGCGGGCCGCGCGCCGCAGCGCGCCCCCGACGCCCCCCGCGCCGCGCGCTCCGGGGACAGCAAACTGGACGCGGCGCCCGAGCCCGACGGCGGCCCCGCGGGCTCCTCGCCGCGCGCGGACCCGGGCCGGGCGAGCCAGGCCAGCAGGCGCAGCGGCGGCCGGGCGCGGCCCAGCGACTTGTCCGTGTAGCGGCGGGCGCTCCGAGCCCGGGGCGGCCGGGAGGGGAGCAGCGGAGCTCTGTGTGGCCTTGCTTGCCGTTGCTAACACTGTGGGGGGCGGGGGGCGCGGGGGGACGGGGGGGCCGGGGCTGCCCGCCTGGCACGCGGGCACAGCGACGGGCACGCGCGGCGCCAGGTGCGGGCAGCCCGGCCTTGCGTCCCTGCGCGCCCCTGAGCCTCTGGGCAGCCCGCGGAGTCACAGACGCCCCGAGCACTATCTCTGGTTGATACTTTTAACTTAGAGTTGAATTTCATTTGGGATATTTGCCAAACGGCACTAAAAAAAGATTTAGAGCGAGTCCCTAGACTCTGTCGTCTGAGTTTCTGAAATTGCCTGTGAAGCCCGGAATACCAGACCGTGCGCCTCCTGACAGGTGACGATGAGCAGCTCCCCTCCGGGGGCACAGGTGCAGCGGGCGGGAGCCACAGAGGCTGCTGGCGAGAGAGCAGGTAGACGGGCAGCGACACTGGAGGTAACAATTTTTAACCAGTTGAGGAAATTGAAATACAAGTGTGGCAGGTATGCCTTAGGTATTTATTTTTTAAATGCTATTTTGTGCTTTGATCTGAATTGTACAGGCATGCCTATTTCCGCCCCCCCCCCCAACTTTCTTTCAGGAGAAAGGAGAGAAAAATAGTACTATTAAATGAATGCTCACCGAGAGGATGCTGACTTGTCCCGTTACATACTCGGAAAGATTTGGACTTTCTTTTAAAAGAAATTCTTCGACCTCATGCATCAGCTACTTGCGACGAGAATGTACTATATAAAACAAGAGCAGGGGACATTTTGAGTGCATTTCGAGTACTTGAAGTTGTGAAGTTTTTGAATGGGAGGTTTAAACAGTTAACCAGTCTTGCCAGAAAAACGGTTTCTACAGACGAATCAACGACCGACGTTTTTTTAAGAGCACAGAAGCAAAACAAAGCAAAAACCTCTTAGAGTTTCCTAACCATTGTCTGTGGGCAGCCTGTTTGCTTCTAAAGTGTAAATAAAAGTATCTGGGTTTTACTTCCCGTGTAAGTGCATGTGCTGATTTCGGACGTGTACCCCGTGTGTCGCCCCTGCAGCTTGCTGCACTGACGGGGAAGGCCGCCGGTCTGCGTGGCTGTGGCTGGAAGGCGCCAGAATTTTCTGTACTGCACACTCTGCTGTCGTGTCTTAGTCTGTTTGTTTATAAACCGCTGAACAGTAGTAATGCTGAGCCTGGTCCATCTCACACCCCAGCTTCCGCTGAGTGTCGTCAGCCCTTATTCAGCAAAACGCCAGACACTTTCCAACTTGGTTCCTTTCTTTTCATGAATTAACTCCAATTTCCTGATGATTTATCTGGAGCCACACTCCGAACATACTTGGGGTTTTGTGTCGTAAAGAGTGACCCACCAGCATCTGATGGAAAGTCTGGTTCCCAGTCTCAGGTTAAGGTGTGGGGCTAGTTCGGTAGAGCGTCACGCTTGCTGCAGAACGGACCGGACAGTCGCCTCTCCTCGCCCTGAAAAATGCTGATTTCCCGTAGGTAGGCTCTCCGCCTTTCTCAGACGGATGTGAGCCTTCCAGAAAACTATGTTCTCCCGAGCCTGGCCGTGACCAGCGCCAGTGTAGATGCAGAGGCAGAGGAGAGCCGTTCCCGCACCGCGCGCAGTAGGCCTTGGGCGGGAGGGCCTCGCTGTGCTGGCTGAGGCTGAGGGGGGCCGCCAGAAAACCCCAGTTTGAAAAGTACTCTGACCAAAAAAAAGAAAAAAAAAAAAAAAAGCTTTGCTCACAATTGCAGTTAGTGGACAGTCGAAGTCCTTGAGGGGCTGTGAACATGTGAACACAGGTTCTTCAAATCCTACCATTATAGATGCTGCCGATCTACCCAGGATCTAATTTAAGTGGCACTGGAGATGAGGATGAGAACTACGGTTATATTTAGTTTTCACATTTTATTTTTTTCATTTTTTAAGTTTTTACATTTTAACATTGGATTTTACTCACCGTATGTTGATGAAGATGCCAGTATTGTGAATTGGCCGTAGTCTAATTGACCCATTTAGTGCATGGGTGAGAGTGTGAATTAGATTCATCTCCTTGAAAAGCTCTAATTTATGAAGATGTAAAATTCTGCCATACAACAGGGCCGGTGCTGTTTTCTCAGGGGTGTGCTCTGATTTCAATTCACGTAAAGTATCACAGCATGTGTTACATTATGTCGCTATTTGAGGTATCCCGGACCCTGGAAGCTAGAGTCCTTCTCTGCCGTGCGGGTGTGGGCAGCATTTCTGTCACTGTAAGCATTGGTAAGTGCAGTGGGATAGAAGTCACCTCTCCCTATGGTTAAGATTCCAGATACGTTTTCCCTAGCCTGTTAACTATTTGGAAATTTCACTGAAATTCTTTTTTCCTGATTTAAGGGAAAAATTTTAATTCCATAAGCTTATTTTAAAACTCAAATGCTCTACCTAATAATTTTACACATGTTATCTTTTTAAAATTGACATCCAAGTTAGTTAGCACATGGCGCAATAATGATTTCAGCAGTAGAATCCAGTGATTCATCCCCTGCATGTAACACCCAGTGTCCTCCTTAATGCCCCTCCCCCACTTAGCCCATCCCCCCTCCCACAACCCCTCCAGCAACCCTCAGTTTGTTCTTTAAGAGTCTTTTATGTTTTGTCCCTTTCCCTGTTTTTATATTATTTTTGCTTCTCTTCCCCTGTGTTCATCTATTTGATATCTTAAATTCCACACGAGTGAAGTCATATGATATTTGTCTTCCTCTGACTAATCTCACTTAGCATAACACCCTCTAGTTCCATCCACGTTGTTGCAAATGGCAAGATTTCATTCTTTTTGGTTGCCGAGTAATATTCCATCATAGCTGATATATATATCACATCTTTAGCCATTCATCAGTCGATGGACATTTGAGCTCTTCCCATACTTTGGCGATTGTTGACGGCGCTGCTGTAAACATTGGGGTGCGTGTGCCCCTTTGAAACAGCACACCTGTTATCCTTTGGATAAATACGTAGTAGTGCACACGTTATCTTTTAATCTGCAGTATACAAGACAATCACTTTTTGCATCTGTTTTCGGAAGCTCAGTTATCTCGTTGACACTACGTAATGTGTGATAGTTCTAAAATGTCAAGCATTACTAATCCATCCCCAAATCTATGTGTTAAAATTCTGAAACATTTTTTCTATAATCGTTCGCTTTCTCCTTTTTAAGCTTCATTTTACTGAATTTTTGTTTTCCCATGAAATTAACAAAAAAGATACCTTAAGTTTAAAAAGGAAATAGAAAGGGGGATAGGGCAAGCCAGAATATTTCTAATCCCCCCTGGCTCTCCTTGGGCGTTAAGTAAGCGGCTAGGTTGTGGATTTCTTTTGCAGTAACACCTAGAATTAGAACTATGAATACAATTCACACATCTTTAAAAAATTAACTTCATGGATTTAGGTCTCTTTTCAGTTTTTTCTATTAATACTTTAATTCCTTTTTTCAGAAAAATCCCTTTTCTGAATTGTTTTCTTCTCCTATTTGCAACATGGATTTATGGACCTCCACCAAATAAATTTTCTTTCTTTCTTTCTTTCTTTCTTTCTTTCTTTCTTTCTTTCTTTCTTTCTTTCTTTCTTTCTTTCTTTTCTTTCTTTCTTTCTTCTTTCTTTTTCTTTCTTTCTTTCTTTCCTTTCTTTCTTTCTTTCTTTCTCTTTCTTTTCTTTCTTTCTTCTTCCTTCCTTCCTTCCTTTCTTTCTTTCTTTCTTTCTTTCTTTCTTTTCTTCCTTTCTTTCTTTCTTCCTTTCTTCCTTTCTTCCTTTCTTCCTTTCTTCCTT